AAGTATGAAACATACAATTTCAGACACAATTATTCCCTGAATATTTCTGTAGCTACACTTAAATTATGAAACATACAATTTCAGACACAATTATTCCCTGAATATTTCTGTAGCTACACTTAAATTATGAAACATACAATTTCAGACACAATTATTCCCTGAATATTTCTGTAGCTACACTTAAATTATGAAACATACAATTTCAGACACAACTGTTCCCCGAGTATTTCTGTAGTTACACTTAAAGTATGAAACATACAATTTCAGACACAACTGTTCCCCGAGTATTTCTGTAGTTACAATTAAAGTATGAAACATACAATTTCAGACACGATTATTCCCTGAGTATTTCTGTGGTTACACTTAAAGTATGAAACATACAATTTCAGACACAACTATTTCCCTAAGTATTTCTGTAGCTACACTTAAAGTATGAAACTTACAATTGCAGACATAACTGTTCCTCGAGTATTCCTGTAGTTACAATTAAAGTAGGAAACATACAATTGCAGACACAACTGTTCCATGAGTATTTCTGTGGTTACAATTAAAGTATGAAACATACAGTTTGGGACACAATTATTCCCTAAGTATTTCTGTAGTTACAATTAAAGTATGAAACATACAATTTCGGACACAATTATTCCCTGAGTATTTCTGTAGTTACAATTAAAGTATGAAACATACAATTTCGGACACAATTATTCCCTGAGTATTTCTGTAGTTACAATTAAAGTATGAAACATACAATTTCGGACACAATTATTCCCTAAGTAACAGAAATACTCAGGGAATACTTTGATAGATTGTTTAGGCAGAGTATTCATGATGAAACTTTGTTAAATGGACGGCAACTGCCTGTTGTAGAGGACGACGTTTCATACTTTAATTGTAACTACAGAAAACCCAATGGCCAACTGTTGGCATAACTCTTATCTGATCAAATAGCGGGATTTAACCATAAACTCTTATAACGCATTCACAAATCCAAAGTACGAAACCCCATTTTTGCGGCAAAAAATTGCGATCGCAATGAATAATAAAATAGATTTTGGTATAACTATAGGAGTTTATTCGTTGTTTGTAAAACTATGTTAGATTAAATAATTGTTTTTTCCGCCCTTTATTGTAACTGCTGTTAATTAGTTGGTTTTATTCTAGTCTATCAATTCAAAGTTATGGACGGCTACGCGCAAATACTTCTCAATGTAGCTTTTCGCGAATATCCGGAAACAAACAAAAAACATTGGATATGAAAGAAAATGGCTACTGTGAATTTTAGAGTTAAAATCCACAACGATAATTTTAAAGAAGTGTGCATGGTGGTCAAAATCTCTTTCTTTAATTTTTATTTTTTAAAATGAAGAGTATCATTGTTGTTATTTCGTAAAATGAAGGAATAATTTAGTTTTTACTGAAATGATAATTTTTCAAATACCAATGCTTTGAGCTGATGGCTCTTCAAGTTTCTTAAGCTTAAGCAAAGCCGAATATTCCAAAAAGAGGTATATAAACTGACCAAAGAATGATGGTTAGAAGTTTTTACAAATATATTTCAGTTTGCGATATTGATCTAGTCTAGGCCTACAAGTATTGTGAAATGAAATGTGTAGTTTTTAACTCATTGACTGCTAGGTTGCCGTATAGGGTACGGTCCGCCTCCGATGCGTGTATGATGTATACAGTGTACGGCTCGCAAAAATTCTGCGCGTATAGCAGCCGCAGTCAAAGGGTTAAATAAGAATGTTAGCCAAGTCACTTTTCTATTTTCTTCGGAAAGATGCTAGGAACGCTAATGTATGATACTAAGAAACTTTTAAAATTTTGTTTTTTTTTTGGTAAGATGCAGTAAAATTTCTATAATTAGTATCAGAAATTGATAACAGTTAGTGTTTTCATTTTAATATGTACTGTAAGCAATCAAAATTATATTAATAGAACAATGTTCTAGTTTTAATTACTATTGTCGACTGATGTTTTTCTCGTTTTGGTAATAAAACTGTGAAAAAAGTAACAACATTTACTGTCCAGATAAAAAACTTTTTACTTCAGTCAATGTTTCACCATTGCGACTTCATCAAGGCTAATAATTTTCTCTGTTTAGAAAAGCTAAGTACCCATAGCTTTAAAATGTAGTAATATATATATGTGTTTGTTTATTTATTGTTAAGTACAAAGATACACAATTGGCTATCTGTGCTCTGCCAACCACTGGTACTTCAACCCGATTTTTAGCGCTTTAAGCCCTCAGTCTTGCCGCTGAGCCGGGGATGGGGGACATTTATCTATATATATCATTTTATTTAAGCCATGACATTCTTTTATTGCTTATATGAAATCTACATTTAACGACCAGTTGCTACTGCACAATGGTTTGGCCCTAGGAACTGTCCCACGATGGGTCAGCGGTAAGCCTCGGGAGTTACAATACTAAAATTCGTGGCTCGATTCTTCGCGGTGAACAGAACGAAAATAGCTCATTGTGTAGCTTTGCGCTGAGAAATAGATATTAGCATCAGCCTTAGGAACTGATGATTGTGTAGCAATTTCAATGTTTTCGTAACAACAGTTATATACATATATATACACACACACGCATATAAATACATATATATATATATATATGGTGAAGTTATTAATAGTACAGAACATTAATACAAAAAATACAACAGAAAAGAGGATACATTATACAGTGCACTAGTGCACAGGCTCTCAAACTGTTGTTCGAGAGCTCCTTCAGTTGGTCCAAAAAATAGGGAGTTTGAAAGATCCAAGAGCAAACCCGACACACGAATCCTTAAAAACTCAGCTATAAGCAGCAAGAATATGTAAATATTAAGTGTAGAAGTCTAAAACAGTACGTTATATAGGTTTGAGTTAAAAATGGAAAGAAAAAAAATATTTACTTGGGAGCTTTTGTTCATTATAAAATAATGACCAGACTAATGGTTTCTTTATAAAAGAAGAAGCACACTTTTTTGTAGCTTTCATGCGGAGGAACATTAAGGTTAAAGTTTAAAAGAAATCCACTATTAGGGTTTTCGATTCAGAGAACTGAAGAGTACCTAGAACAGACATACAAAGCAGTTCGTTTTCTGACGCCTTTTACTACAACGTGCACATGCGAGACGGAATTTTCTTCACTTGCGGCCCCGAGTTCCAAATACAGAAGCAGGATAAACGCCGAACTTGACCAGAGGCTACATCTGCGAACATTACATCCAACATTACAGAACATTGCTCAAACAAACAGTTACACCCATCGTAATAAAAAGTAGGAAGGTAAGGCTGTGCATCCATCGAATTATAACGTAGGAAGGTAAGTCTGTGGTTAATATTATATTGAATTTTATGCGCTTATTTTGTTTTGTTAAATTATACTGTTATTGTGTCAAGCCCCCACCCTCCCCTCCAAGCGTTACTACACTAACATACCTATACCGTTTATAATCGAACTTGAAGTGTGACCGTATGTAGTATTTTATAATGATGTTTGAAGACACTTTGTAAAGAATAATTTTTGAGTTGCTTGTTTTATGTCGTAGATAATAATTCAATAAAAAAGGCAAAAACTTCATCAAGTAAATTACTGGTAATGAAGATTAAATATTCAAGTTTCATTAAAGCAATAAAAGTTAAAAACAATTTTCTATAATAAATTAATTTTTATCATAACTTTAATAAATGAGTGAATTAAATCAGAGCATGCTTAAATAGACTATGTTAGTGGACAAATTAAGTAGTTGAAATCAGTTATTTATACCAAGTTTTACATATCTGACATTCAAATTGTTCACGAAACGTCGCAGTTTTAAAACTACTTCTACATAAGTTACCTTATATTATTATTATATTTCCATCATTTACAGAATACTAACCTACGTTCTTTGATGCACAATTATACCACGAAGACTAACTGAAAGCAACAAACTTCTGAAGATGTTCTCTCTCTTCTGTTTAGATATTGAGTTTAATACTTTCTGTATTTCTGAATAATAAAGCAAAACACGTGAATCAACATAATACAAGAAATTGTAGCAGCAAATAAAGGCAGTTATCAAGGATTTTCGTTTTTTCCAACAACAACAAGAAAAATGTGCAAGTAGATAGATTTCAAAGAACCATGGTGTAAAGTCTTGATATGAATCATTATATGTTAACCATATACATACAATACCACCTGCTTTCGTCACTGAAATATCTCAATCATAGCTATTGCTAGCTTACGTGGCCAAAACACCAGCATTATTTACAGAAGAGTTAGAAGTTAATCATTCTTGGTTCAGATGGCTTAAGAAAACATCACGTGATAATTCTTATTACCTCTTTATTGGACTTGTGATGCAGAGTTTCGTGGGTTTAAGTGATTCACTGTATAAATATTTCCAGATGTCTAACAAAAATAACGACTGGCTTCAGCATTAAGTAACATTCACGTTAGAGTATAAATAAAGGCCTACTAACCATTGTAGGTACAGTCAAGAAGTGTCATATTTCAAATCCAGAGAAATGAAGGTATTTGTCACTTTGAGTGTTATTGTCTGTTTTTGGGCGATAGCGTATGGACAGCAAGCCCAACAAAGCATTGCCTGTTGTGAGTAATTTGGAGTTATATTTTTATCATTATTATTATGCAGTAGCTCTGTGAAGTCTTTTAAATATATTGTACTTAATCAACTTTATGTGATTTTATGTTCGTGTAGGCCTTGTTTTAAAGAATACCACGAAACAACACACGAATATATTCTAAAACTTTAAACAATGTGTTGAAACCACAATGACCTTGTGGATATAGTAACTAATCAGAATCCTAAGATAACTTTGCATATCTAAACTCTGGTATATCTATTTCTTTTTATAAACAATTAGTTTTTGTATGTCTAAAAAGTAATAATTTACGAATTGTGCTTTTCGATATGAAGCTGCTTTGACGATTTGCCATCTTTTTAAATTCAATTTAATATTTGTATAGCTGCTGTTATTGTGACGTTATGGTGTATAAAAAAGTGACAATAAACCTGTAAAATAACAGCTGTTTACTCTAACCTTTATGTTAATCAATTTCAGAAGGCGATAAAACTCAAAGAAAATTATAGAATTTAATACCAGTACTATTAAAAGGGCACCAGAGTAAAACATAAGATGTAATGTTTCTAAATATTTTTACTAGAGATAACAAAAAGACAACTAATTTTGCAGTTTCAAAGCGATTACTATGTACAACACGAGTGAATAAACCAGTAGTTATTTGGGAAAATATAGCATGACGTGGTTCTAATTCACTCTGAAATATAGTTTGGGTAGTGTACGTATTAGTTTTTTTTTTACATTGCAATGACACAGTGGGTTATTGAAGATCTGAAGAAAGCATTTTTGTACACAAATATAGTAATTTGGCAGAATAATTTTTTTTCAGGTTCTGGGTTATAATGCTAAGATAAATGACTTTATTCATAGAAGAGTATCATAGGATAAATAAATATATTAATATTATATAATACGACAGATTCTCTAGGTGTTTAAATGTCCTAATTCAGGTACGACGATAGTAATACATTGAAAACTGGTTTGATTCCCACGTAAAGCTCTGGTGTGTAGTTATTCTTATGTATTTGATATTTGGCTTTTGAAAATTTTTTACTTAGGAATGACCATAATATCACAATTAGCAAGAAAGTGCTCACTGTGGCAAATTAAACCCCCAAAATGCTAAACCATCATTTGTGCTTGGGTTTGGTATTTGCTTAGTACAAAACTACACAATAGTCTATGTGCGCGCTGCCCATCTTGGGGAATCAAACTAAGTTTAAATAACTCGAAAACAACAACAAAATTATAAAGCATACAATCTCAGAAACACTCTCATAGTTTGTTTGTTCGTTTGCTTTTTGAATTTCGTGCAAAGCTACACGAGGGCTATTTGCGCTCTCTCATAGTTAAACTGACATTTAGAGATCTATTTTCGTGCATACAGTTGTGTGTCCTCCTTTTTGTCAGCAGTAATTTTACGAGCTTACGACGCTAAAATCAGAAGTTCGATTCCCGCAGTGGCCAGAGCGCAAATAGCTCATTGTGTAGCTTTGCACTAAAACAAAAACTACAACTGCTTACTGTTGTAAGTTCTGCTGATGAAAATAAAGGAGACATCTAGAATATGTATTTTTTTTTTTGTTTCTCAGTTTTGACATTAATATATCGAGCCAACTTTCTCTAATATTATCTCGTTACGTGGAATTGTTAGAAAAATATCTAACCTAAGTATCATAGCAAAATACTAAATTTTTATAATCACTTATTTACAGGAGCTATTTTATACAACTTAATAAAAGCTTAAAGTTTTTATACCTTGTACTAATAAGATGCCCTCCAGTGGCACAGCGGTATGTCTGCGGACTTACAACGCTAGATCCCCGTGGTGGGCAGAGCACAGATAGCCCATTGTGCAGCTTTGTGCTTAACTACAAACAAACAAACTAATATGTTTTTTTGCTCACTGATAAAGACCCTCGGTGGGTCAGGGGTAAGTTTACGAAATTACAACAATAAAATTCGGGTTTTCGATTCCCCGCGGTTGACAGAGTTCAGATAGGGCATTGCGTAGCTTTACACTAAGAAAATCAACAACAAACTGACAAAATAACATTAAAAATCAAATTATTTGATAATGAGAAAAACAAACTTGTTTATAAAATTGTAGTTGTTTTCATACTTACATTTTCGGTTGATTGTTTGTTTTATAACTTGTGATCTGGTTATTTTTATTTTCATATTTGAAACTTTTTCAGCGGTCCCTGGTAATCAAATGGAAACATTCTTTTCTTGTGTTAGAAGTGATCAGCGAATTAGTACAGTAAGTACACGTGAAATATGTACTCAAAAAGTATTAATACAGATGTTTGATTGAGTTTATTTTTTAACAACTTGCTAGGGTATGAAAGAAAAAATAATAACAACTTTTCATTTTTGGCTTTAGTCTTTCTTACAAAAATAATCTATCCTTCTGTATAACAAAAACAAATTATTGGCTAGGATTTGTATAAAACTTTTAATGTCTTTAGGAATTACTTCATGATCTCAGAAAAATACGTAAGTTCAAAAAGTCTTAATACAAAATGATAAAACCCTATAACCCGAACCCTTCTTCAGGGGCAAACTGGGAACTACTTTTAGGAATTAGCTATAATCTTAATGGACATTAATAGTTTATAATATCATCATTATTTGACTATTATTTAAAAATAATTTTGAAATAAAAATTAACTTTAAAGCATGTTTCAAACCACTAATGCTTCAGTGTTATTGAATTGTTTAACTTTATAAACAGCTATAGTTTTTGTTTTGTTTTCTGTTTTAAGTTTTTAGACCAATGGGATACTTGTAAGAATAATTTTTTCCCGACCGCAACTGATGGTCAAGTTTTGCAACAGATGTGTGGAAACATGATGGTCAAAGCTGCGGTAAGCTGTGCATAACAACCGAGTAGCCTATTTTACAAAACATTTAATATATTTTGTTAGTCCATACCTAATTAATAAAAAGTAAAATAAAAGGAAATGGTGTTTATTAGGAGATCACAACATTAAATCTTGCAAATAGCGTTTTACGTCGTCATGGATCATTTGTACCAATTGTTAAAAAAGAAAAAATGGATCGGGCGCAGGTAAAATCATACTGAATTATATAACAAAATGAAGTGTCAGTCTAAGCCTAAAACTAAAAAAGATGACTACATTATTTACTTGGTGTTATAATGTAAATGAATGCTATTTTTATTTTCATACCGTCAATATAATTTTTTCTTTTATTAAAATGATATTATTCTTAATATAGGCGAAACAGATATGCAGTTTACTACCGAAATATTATTATGAAATATGAATTTACTTTAGCTTTCTAATAAACTTCTGTTTAGATGCAGGTTATATACTGTTGTTCTGTATAAGTGCGTTACGTATCTATTCTGAGGTGGTACCAAACTTTAATATTTTGGAAGTCTACACCTAATGTGCACGAACAGTGAACCTTCTGGAAGACTTCAGAACGAGTGCAAATATAACGTTGTATTAAAAAAATAGCACTGGTTACTAGAGTTCTTAAGTTTCTGCTCACTGTTTTATAAACTGTGTTATTGTAAAAATGAATTTGATATTTTGATTACAGATACTTATAATCCTAAATGTTTCTAATTTCGATACATGGATTTACATATTTGAGTAATTTACGAATATAATTTATTTTTTCAGATGGTTAATTGTTTCCAAGCGCAAATGGTAAGTTAAAGTTATTGTGAAATGGTATCTTCAGTTTATCCAATTATTCTGTTGTTATAATACCCGCTAAACAGGGCCGGATTTAAGGGATGACAATCAGTATATTAATCCTGGGCCCTGGACTGCTGAGAGGGCCCACAGACTAGGTTAAAATACATAACTATTTTTAGATCACTATTTCAGAATTTTAAATCCAATTCACTTGCTCTATGATAACGCTAGCTAAGCCCTAGAGTCATTAATTGGCCATGAATACACAATAATATGGCGAGAATGAAACTAACAGAAAAAGATTGTTTGTTTGGTGTTATATATTGTATAAATACATCAAAGAGTTAATTTATAAGAAACTCCATTTTTATAGAGTTTGGTCATTATTATAGTACTTTTCATATTATTTTCCAGAATCAGTTTTACAATGAGATTAAAACAGTTGCTGAAACTTGTCAAAAGACTTTGTAACCTGTACGAAATATATTTTGTTGGGAAAAAAAAAAGAGTAAGTTTGAATTTTACTTATTTTTGTATAACTTTAGATACAATAAAAATATACTTGTAGCAGCAAATCATATAACTTTCAAGGTAAATTTTAATCGTGAAATTTATGAAGGAAAGAAAGAGAACTTTCTACTTTCTTTAGTATACTTATTATGCCTTGTAGCCATGTGTCGTCAAATTCGCTCTTACAATACCTTCTTTTTCTGAAGTCCACGATTGTATTTTCAAATAGCGTAACGTCAAATATAAACCTGTCTTATATTCGTTTTCATTACATTGCTTAGTACGTTATACAAGTTACGAGTTAGTTTATTTTATGATAGATAATTTGTTGGTGGCTTAGCGGTTTGATCCTCCTAGTGGGCACAACACAAGTGGCCTTTTAGGCAGCTTTTTCCTTAATAAAACACAAAAAACTCTACGCTTGATGCGCGGGTTGTCTTTGAGATAGAGCTATGTGTTTCGGAACTGGCGGACTTTAAGCTGTTGGTGCATTATAAAAGTAACAGGCAATCTCTTAGATTGTGTAGAAATACAAGCCCCCCCCCCCCAGTGGCACAGCGGTATTTCTGCGGACTTACAATGCTATAAACCGGGTTTCGATACCCGTGGTGAGCAGAGTACGGATAGCCCTTTGTGTAGCTCTGTGCCTAACCACAAACAAATCATACATAGAAAATACAAACACAACTTTTTGCCATCTAGTGGCCATCGAATTAAGTTAAGCATGAGCCATGAAAGTGGTAGCTTCTTGCAATTCGAAAACAAACACGTATTGAAAATAATGTACGTATTCTGTGTCTAAAATTCCATTCAAGAGGGATGTGACGATTTTCAAACTCTCTTTATGTTGATTTCACCTTTGAATAGTGCTGAGTTTGAAAACACGCTAGTGTTCTACGCTGCTACATACAGCAAAGTCTCGTGTACCTGACGTACAAATCTTTTTTTTAACATTCTTTTTTTTACAAAAATGTATTACAAAGATAATTTAGAAAAACCATATAGTGTTAAGCTTAGTTCCTTAACATTTTTTAGCAGGTTTATCTCGTCTTACGAAGTGCATTCGCAGTATATGTCTTACTGTTTATATAAATTGACTGTTAGCAATATTTCTGCTTGCATAGTTGTGTTGGGATTTCATTACCATTTTTTTCATTATTAATAGTTTTTTGTCATGAAAATGGGAGAAATTAATATAATTTTCTTTTTTTACTTTGTCTTTTTAGGTACAGGAAGTATCAACTATACTATTATTCCCCTTGATTTTCTTCATCTTTTTCTCCAAGAAATGCATTGCTTCATCAGAAAATGTACTACAGGCAACATTAGAAACTTGCCAATATTGTCTTTCTACAGAGAACATAAATAAAATCTTTAAGTAGTTGCAAAAGTGCAATTTGAATTGATGTTTCTTTCTTAGATATTAAGAAATGTTTTCATTTTACCCCCCATTTGAGTTTATTCGAGAAAATAACATATTATTCCAACACGACTATTACCACAGACAATATTAGAAAATTACCAATGTTAAAGCGGTCTTACAGTCTAATTAACATCTTTGAATCAATGCATCCTGGTTTAATGTTACAACTACATGTCAGTTTTAGATCTATATTCTGTACACTAAAATACATCATGAGAAAAAAGAGTCAGAGAGAACAATTTTATTTCACTTACACTAATAGCTTGTGAGAACTGTTTGTTTAAATTAAATAAATAAAGAAGACAACTGTTATTACAATGGTAAAGACAAAACTACAGAAGGTTGAGTACTTTATGTTAGAACGATTTCAAGCACCCCAATCAGCATACCAACGATAACCGGTATAAAGTCGTAGTGGAATGGTATATATCAGAACTACCTTTTGATCATGTTTAGCGTTACGTAAGTAGTGTGATACCACAGAACATTGATCGCTTTTGGAAAAGGTATGTACCAGTCCTTTCCGACACAAAATGTTCGTACACTCAGATCATAAAGATGTGTTCAGAAAACAACGCACATTTTATGATAAAAGCCTGTACTTGGCTTCACAAAGGCTTCATGATAAAAGCCTGTACTTCACAAGGTTTCGCACAATGTCCTCTTCGATTGTAACTTGTTCCCCAAGAAGTATGATCTGTAATTGGTTCAAAGATGTTGGTAGATAATTACTGTGACCAGTGCAATGCTTTTGGTCATCTTTAACGAAAAGCAGCTGGGTCACGATCTGGTGATTGTGTTGATCAAGGTTGTTGACTGGAGTCATTATCATGTTATTGGAACCAATTTTGGACAATCGTAATGGACTATTGCATTACTGTCCTGGAAAAGCCCAGTTTTTCGACTACTTTAGTAATGCAGTATTGTAAGATGGGCGTGAACAGCAATAACGTTCAGATATTGTTTAGATGTTATTTAACATTTTAAAAATAATCAAATGGTCGAGCTCCTACCACAAGAACGTTCTTTGATACATGTGCACTGTAAAAACAAGTGAAGTAGGGTCAAGTACCTCATATAATTTTCTTCATACTTTTTCTTAGTCAGTACAAAATATGATGAAATTCAAGGCATCAGACCATATCACACATTTCCAGCCATCCATTACACATATAATATGCCTCTAAGAACTACTGAGCCATTTTTCTGCTATCTATTAAGATCAGCAGTCTTTGGACTGCTGTTTGTCTATCATATCAAAAATTCTCTTATGTTCTTTGCATAGTAAACTCGCAAATAATCTTATTTTGAGCAGTGCTGACAGGTTTTGTTTTGTTGAATTTGGCGCAAAGCTAATTTTGAATTAGTAGACTAGAGTAAAGACAACTAGTCAACACCACAAACTCTTGAGCTTCTCTTGTTAAACCTAATCGTGGAATTTGACTCACTCTTATAACACACCCACTTTTCAAACTTTTTACTTAAAGATATACATATTTTTATGAACAATTTACCGAGTGTGGGAGTAAACAAAGATCACCTTTTCATGAATTATATCCAAAGTTACATATCCGATAGTTTTAAATTGTGAAATTTATAAAATGAAAAATAATATAATGATGTTATTAAAGTATAAAAATATATACATACGCATACTCATATTTCAAGAAAGCGCACTTCGACCACTTATTTTACAAGATCCTTATCATTTGAGTGATTAATTGGTTGTATATAGCTCTGGCTTGTAAAATACTCAAAATATATACCGTTACACTAAGATACATTTTAGCATCTTACTATTCATTGTGGATCTTAACAAGTAATTTAATAATATAAGTAGCTTTTATAGTGGGGAAAATGTTTTTATGCCAGCAAACAAATTTTACTAGGGGAAAAAAAAAAGGACGCTCTTTTATATCATTAATTTTGAAGATCTACTAGCAAATGGAATTAAATCTCAAATTATTAACCCTTATGAGTTTTATTTAACAATCTAAATAGTATGATTCAAATATTTGTATACGGTAAGTTATATTAAATATGAATATACTGAGGAAAATAAATACTCGTAAGCATTATGTACGTTTTACAGTGACTTTTATTTTATCAATAACAAATCTAGGTGGCTAGTTGTGTAAAGAATTTGTAACGTCAAAAATAATAGTTCCTTAAGTAGTAGGCCTAGGCGTAAGGCAATGCAGAAATGTCGACTAAATTTTAACAAAATTTTTTCAACCTAAATTCATAAAAATCGGTAGCAGGACATCAACTAACAATGTATCCTAGTACCAATTTCAAATGTGGAAGTGAAATTTTAGATTATTACTATTAATGATGATAAAACAACTTTATATAAGATCCTTCAAATTGTATGCCTAGGCCTAGACTTGCAATTATATCTTGTGTTCCAATGAGTCAAAATTTTCAATGTTCGTGTGATTACAGAAACATCGAATTTAAATTTATAAAATACATTGTTTAACCACTTTGAAAAGACTGGTAGGTCTGATGAAGTAAACCAACAATCTGGTAATGTGATTAGAAATATTTGTAATGTTATTAGAGAAAAGTAAGGCTATGTTCATATATGATAATATAGGCAGAACCTAGTAACGAATGCCAATTTAAAAACTATCCTTTTTATATTCGAGTTGTTTATCCGAATTAGTCAAAAGAGAAGGCGTATTTCTGTTCGAGTTATTGAACCAATGTTGCCATTTGTTGCCATGTCGATGTTGTTGGAAAAAATTACCCAATTAATTTTAAATTAAAATTTAAATATTTGGCAAGTTTGTTTGTTTGTTTGTAATTAAGCACAAAGCTACACTATGGGCTATCTGTGTTCTGCCCATCACGGGTATCGAAACCCGGATTCTAGCGTTGTAAGTCCGCAGACATACCGCTGTGCCACTGGGGGGCAAATATTTGGCAAATAATTTTATTCGTATTAGTAAACGTTATTTGTTAATTTATTTTTTGATGCTAAATCAAAAAGGACTAAGGTATATCTTAATTTCTAAATTCTCCATGGAACAGTTTGGCATTGCTGAAGTGAAATCCAACATAGTGCACATCACACGTACTACCCGAACTTCAAAGTTAATGCTTTATGATTGATATTGTTATGACAGCAGAAGTCACGTGACGCTGGTAACACGTAATGAGTTCTAGAAAGATCGGGGAACATCAT